CACGCTAATATAGCCTCACCGTAAAACAAAATACAACGCTGCTCCCGCCCTTTTTCCACTCAAGATGACAACGTCAGAAAACTCAAATAAGTGTTTTATATCAGAATGACAACATAAAGAATATAATTAATTTAAAATAATACATGTAAATCCTATTTTTATATAAGTAATTAATAATTTATATTATTTTTAGTATAGCATTTCATATAAAATGTATAATGTAATAAATACTAAACATAATTACTTATCTGATTGTATATTTTAAAACTGTATCTTGTTAATTTTTATTAATAATTCAGCCCACTACTAGACAAGGGGTACACTCATTGTGAATCTTCTTAATAATGTGCTAGAATAGGGACTTGAGAAATTTTCCGGGATAAAACTATACTATGTCCTTCCCAGGGTCTCAAGCTATCTTCATACCAAATTTCATCTAAATCGGTTCAACGGCTTTTATTTTATCCGTTACAAACAAACGTACAAACATACAAAAAAAAACTTTTTTTCTCTTTATATCAGTGGTATATATAATAAATAAAATGTCAGTCTATGTATATTTTACAAATTGATTAAATATGGTGACTTACGATGCTAAAAGCTACCTTACAACCATAAATATTTTTTCCTTTTGTGTTCTACGAGCGAACCAATTTAAACAAGACCAATTTAAACAAGACTTTTGTTAAGTTGTTCAGTGATACTGGCTATTTATAATTATCGTTCGAAATGTGTTGTTATAGGTCACAAAGCTGGTGTGACACACGTTAGGTTCAGTTTGTAGTCAGTTTACTTATTGCCAGCGGTCGCGAGTTTGAGTCCCGCTGGGGGCATTCATTTGTATGATGAGCACAAATGTTTGTATCCCAGTCATGGATATTTATATTCCGTATGTATTTAAAATTATATATATGTAGTGTATCAACAGTTGTAGTTGTAGTTACTATCTGGTATCCATAACACAGGCCTCGTAGCTTACCATGGTACTAGATGGTGCTATGTGTTAATGTCCCAACATATTTGTTTATTTATAGGAATATTCGTATTTTCAGTTTTCTGCACATATGAGAATATAGAATGTGTGTAGAGTCAATATCTCAATCACATTGTTAGATGGCGAAGCAGAGACGTAAAAAAGCAGACGGTTTAAGCTAACGTAAAAGCGAAATAACAATACGTAACTTTTAATCTACGAAATTCCCAAGGACTGATTTTGAGGATAAGATAACCTTCTATCATTTCCTACAACTAAACGAGGTTTTGCCCAAATTTTAATTGATTTGCCATTGCCATTATTGCTGATGATACAATTTTCAATTACAGCAAAGATAAAAAAATGACGGAGACGTATTATCTGCACGATAAACTATCAGTCGTGGAGTAGCGGCTCCGAGGAAAACACTGAGGTGAGGATATTATCTGTTTATTATTTATTTTTTTAATTTTTCAACGGTTTTTCAAGCATCGCAAAGCCATAAATACCATTGCATTATATGTACTTTGGTCGGTGTTAAAAGTATAGTTGGTTACAGAGTCACAAATTACACAATTGCATTTCATTGCTGACCCGCTGGATGTATTCAGCTATGATCAATTTTGAATCACAAGATCTTCCCTATAGCACTTTCTTTTTTCCCGGCAATTTTTTTTTAGTTTTTTTTTTTAATTTTAAACCACAAACAACTCATAGATAAGTTAACTAAATCAAAATCAATTCAACCGTTCTCAACTAAAGCGCTAACCAATGAATAGCATATCATTTTACTTAAAAAGCTTTCACTTTGACTAGGAACTCAAACACACAAAATATACTTTACTCAAATAAACGTTTAAATCAACTTTTATTAATGTACATGATTCTAAGTGGGTGATAAACATGACCCCGGTTACAGCTTCTGATACAAAGGAGCGCATAGAACGGTTAAACTCTCATTGTATCTAGAAGACCAATTTGAATAAAAGTTAGTCGCGTTCTTCACCTTTGGGTTGGGTAACATCCGTTATTGAGCGAACAAACAGACGAAAAAAAGGTATTAAAAATCGTTTCCTTTACATTTCACTGTACTTATTTTCTTTTACTATATGTTTATGTATATGATTGCTCACTAATTTGCACGTACATAAGATAAAGTATACAACAGAAAAATATATGTATTTAAGCAAATACCAATATATCTTTTGTAATAAAGATTGGTATATTCCAATTTATGGAATTTGGATGGATTAGAATGCATTCGGTAAATGCACATTCAACATATTACGTTAAATTAGATAGTAAAGTAGTTTTAATAATGTTATTTTATAATAGATATGACGTTGACCGATGATATGGTATATCAGACGTCTAGACGAGCACAATCTATACTAATCCTTAATAATATATACAACTAAATATATTGTTCTTAGTGTCTTAACCAAAGGAGTAAGTCCTTTTGTTTGTTTGTATGTAAACATAAAGTCGATGCGATCTGAAAGAGATAGACAGAGTTGTTTGTTCCGAAAACAGCCGCCAGGACATGTTATAGCCGTCAATGCACTATATAAATCGGCTAAAATATAAGATTTTTCTATTTTTTGTACATTTATTTAATGCAAAATTATTTAATTAGTAAAAAAAAAGTTCATTGGGGGTGTAAGATGAAGTTTCATTTTTGATTTATTATGTTATCTATCTTTAAACCACTTAATACTGGCTCTACCTTTAATTTGCGGGTGAGTTTTCAAAATTTCCAATTCAAACAACTTGTCGATCCATTGACACCACTACAGATGTTCGCACTACGCTCTGTGGGAGATATAAAGCTCAGTTCATATTTGGTATCAATATTTTCCCAATGACTAGTGAATGATAAGAAATACGTACTATTAAAGGGTTTCGGTACATAAGGTTAAGTGTTATGATAATGATAAATGAACATGTCCGTCTGGGTCCTTTTTAGGGTACTACTATTTTAACACAGAAAGTACATTTGCTTAGTATAGATTTCCCAGAGATGAGATATTTTCCCGCAGTAAAAAGTATCCTATATATTGACCCGGATAACCAGCTATCATCATAGTCAATTTAATTAAAAGCTGTCCAGTGGTTTTCTCGATGCGTTTTGAGACGGACAGACAGAGGGACAAAAATTCTAAAAACTATTGATTCAGCCTCTGTATCGATAATGATGACTATTGCAATAAGATTTTCCAAAAAATATTTAATATACCTACAGATTCCATTCAGAATTTTATTATATGTATAGATTCAAACTTCTCCACGCAATTTTTCAATATTTTAGTCTTCATACCACTTGTCTTATTTTAGAACCGATTGAAAAGAGATTTTAAATAATCTTGGAACTTCAGGGGTGTTCATATTCAATTGCTTCTTAACCAGCTATATAAACAACCAGCGACATCCGCACGCTTTGCTCGATCTGTGCTTTTAGTAGATATAATTTTGTAAATAAAACTATCTTCTAGATTTTTTCGCCGATTTATTTTGATTTTTGGTTTTCGACATTTCGAATGCTGTTGTCTACCGTGATCAAAAGATCATGATGAAAAGATAGTTTTATTTAAAGTGTTAAATAGGTATTTAGGTAAATCTAATAAAGTATTATATAATACTAGTAAAACAAAAACAATAGTATCCCACGGGAACCGTACATTTTTCCGGAATGAAAAGTAGCCTATATGTTATTCCAGACTATAATCTATCTTCTTACCAAATTTCATTTAAATCGGTTCAGTAGTTTCGGAGCTTTTTCGGTACAAACAAATAAACAAACAAATCTTTCCTCTTTATGATATTAGAATAGATATCTCAAGATATTATTACTATAATATTTAAATTTCTCATTTTTCTCATTTCAACAATTCTTTATTGGCCAGCTCGGTCGCCCGTCGGCTGATACAAAATGCCGTAATGATGATGATGTTCTCCTAGCCGATTCCGGCCACGGCGGCCAATCTCAATGAGATTAGCCAACTGCGCAGGAGATATTATAGTGCTCAAGTGTACGCGCAGACACAAGTGCACTCTCTATTCCTATCACTCTCATACTCCGGTGGGACGACCACTCGACACGACCGGTGAGAGTTAAGGCGCAGGACCGACGGCTTTACGTGCTCTCCGAGGCACGGGGGTGAAACACCGCCAACTTCCCAACTCCGGGCTGTTACTGAGACTTACTATACAGGAAGACTCAATAACTAAACTTGGCCCGACCCGGGACTCGAACCCAGGACCTCCGGGTGTGCAGCCGTACATGCTAGCCACTACACCACTGAGGCAGTTCAATACTATGCCGTAATACTGTTAAGTCGACCTTTGTACATGCATTCATGTATATTCACAACAAAGCAGCACATAAAAGCGATTAGTAAAATTATAATAACATTTTAAAAGCATGATAGAATTTTCCTGCACAAAATTGCAATGCGAGCCGGCAGCTCCCCGACGGGCTAACTAAAAAGTGCAGTAAGATTTGCACGTATTCAGAATATGCCGTGATTTGATGTGATTTTTTTTACTTTAGTCACACATAACAAAGGTATCCCATTAAATAATTAAAACAATATTTAACAAATCAACTTGTGCTTACAACAGAAAAATTATACAGAAAATTTTATATATTACCTACCGATACGAGTAAATAACACCTATTACCGCTATAAAAACTAGTCGGTTGACAATGGACATTACAAGTATTATGTCCAGACTAAAAAGAAAAACAAATGAATAATATTTGAAAGTTAACAAAATAATTTTAAATTTAAAATCAATATGGTCCCTCGTCTAAGGAAGTGTGAACACAAACAGACACACGTCAAAGGTCGCGGGATCGAAGCATGTGCCACTCGGCACACATTAATGTTAGCTATTTAAGAATGCATCATCGTCTTGATCCGGTGAATTTTGAATTGATTTATTACACTCCAACCGTTTTGGAGTTCATAGAGAACATACATACACACATCGTTTTATATATGTAAATTTTAAAATTATTTCCAGTATGGCGGAACAGAAGTACACCATAGCAGATGTGGCGAGCCGCAACGGTCGGGGCAACGCGCCGGTGTGGGTGATCTACAAAGACTCAGTGTATGACATCACATCCTACATCAGCCAGGTAAAAATATGCACTGATTAGCTATATGTTATTTATTATAATATATAATATTTATTGTAATCATATACAGTACTTAAAATGCCGGATAATAGAGCTGCCTATTAATCAAAGAATTGTCAGAATCCAGTTATTGAAGTTTTAGATAAACTGATTTTGATAAAATTTAATTCTTTTTGTCATTCCATCAAGGTCTGCCTTTAATTAACACAGTGCATTTTTTATATCGTTAATTACTTGTAGAAACTGATATTCGGTACTTTCATGTAAAAATGTGTATATTTTCTTACTTATAGTATCGATACAAATCAAAGCACACCGTAAATGAAAACTACCAATCAGTGTTTTTTTTTCTTTTTAGTCTTTTTTAAAGTCCGTTTTAATTTTTTTTAATTTTTATAATTTTAAGTGGTATGAGTGTTAAACATATAGTATCTGAGAAAAGTTGGGGCGCGTCGCTAGCATTCAACGTTTAACGTCTCTGATTTTCCATTATGATAAAATTTAAATCATAATAGACCTGATAAATCGCACAATTTTTGCGAATAACATCGCATATAGAATACCTCACAAAAAATCGTGGAAAATATTTTGTTAGAACCTTTCATATTATGGTACTCAATTTGACACCTCCCTCTTGAATCAATCTGTCAGAGTCAACCTCGAATGAATATAAAAATATATTTTACTTAGAACTTTTTTTAACATTTTTTCAACATCTGTTTAGTTTAATAACGTTACGTTGGTCAAGGACAAGGGCCTAGATTCGATATCAAGTAAGTCCTCCATATTAAAAACCGTTATCTAAAAATCTTCTTAAAAAAGTGTTTATACGTATAATCTGACTTTATAATAAAAACTTCTCCCACATATACCTCTTCCATTTATTTATCTGCACAAGCTTATAAAAACATAATATTAAATCTCAATCCTATTAATGGCACACAAACACACACACACACACACAAAGTGTGTATTTGACACACTAGCAAAAGTCGTATCTTTTTTATTTTTACTGTGTCCTTTTTTCGTGCTTTCATTGGGTAACTCATTTTAGTGTATTGTTATTTCTGTTACTAAAAGTAGAAACTGTAATAGGCTTTATAGTACACATTGTTTATACATTAATTTAACTCATGTGATGCTGTTGTTTTCTCAATAAATAAATAAATAAATAAAAAAAAAACAAATTGATAGTTTTAAGAAGATCCTGTTGTCGCTTTCCGGCTCCATGATCAGATCAGCTCATGGTTACAAGACAATCCTGTTTTTCAAAAACTGAAAAGAACTGCTTCTTAAACTATTTCTTACACGAACTCCAAGAACAAAATGGTAAAATTAATTACAATTTTTTTCTTGTGCTTCCGGGTTTTATCAGATTAAATCGCTAAGTAGGTTTTACGTACACTATAGATAAGTATTATAACAACACCATTTTATTGTAATGTTATCAAAATCTTTTAATTCTAAAATTGTACAAGCACGAATCCATCTCAAATAGAATAAAATAAAAATAACAACAAAATATAAAAATGCTCAAAAAAAGGCACGGACGTATGTCTGTGGGTGTTAGACTTACTCAAATAAAAAAATGTTATCAAATTAACCTTAGTATATCAAAGTGTTTGAAAGTTGATTTTGAATGGGAAAAAGATTAGCATTCGAACGAAGTAAGTTAATTTAACTATCTTGTAAACGAAGACGGACGCTCTCCGTTCTAAAAAGGGTTTTACCATTGGTCAGTTTTAAAATTACATCGACCTTTAAAATTACATCGGCCTATGAACCTCTTACATCGTTAAAGAAAAAAATACCTAGACAGTTTCACATATATAACCTTCATAAGGACTTAAAAACTCTCGCTGGGCGTACTGTTAGGGCAGCTTAAGCTACAGTATTGGAAATGCAAATGTATAAACTGGAAAACGGGAAACGCATTAAGTTAGAGTGTCGATATCGATCCATCGACAAGTGTCTTAAACGGTTTTTGTTTCAATCGACTTTGAAAATTCTGAGATACCTTGAGATGTTTGCAAATATGAAGATTTAAATACGTTTATTTTTGTAAGTATTTGGCGTATAGTAGAGTTTGATTATTGATTGTGTCACTCATACTGAGTGATTTAAAAGGTCCAAAAAGCATTGTTTTCGACATATGAGTAATGCCCTCCTGCCCGATGCCGGTCACAGCGGACAATCTCATTGAGACATCCGAGGCACGGGGGTGAACCATCGGTACACTTTCCAACCTCGGGCAGTTAATGAGGCTTAATATACAGAAAGACTCAATAACTAAACGTCGCCCGACCCTTGACTCGAACCTAGGACCTCCGGGTGTACAACCGTACATGCTAGCCACTACACCACCATACCCAATGTATCTTTTAATATAATAGTCATCAGTAATTTTATACGATGAGCGTGTATAAAGAAAATGATAACAATGGAAATAGCGAAAGAGGTATGTAGACGTCGTAACGCTCTGCTCTTTCTTGCATCGTGATATAGTGTGAAGTAGTTTAATCATTTGTAGCCTCTAAAATGTAAAGCTAGTAGATATATAGATATATAAATATTCTTCCAGCATCCCGGCGGCGACGTGATCTTAGAGGAAGCGGGCAGAGACGCTACCAAAGCTTTCGACGAAGTGGACCACGGCTCAGACGCTAGACAAATATTGAGGAAATTCAAAATAGGTGAAATTATTGAGGTCAGTAAATATATACTATATAAATATATGTTAAACATTCTGGTACCCTTTCTGCATGTTCTTAATTCTTATACTTATCATTGTTTTGTCTAATTTTTATTTTAAGGTGTTTGGACACTGCGTTATGATGCCAACCCTTATTAGAGTAATAAAATCTAATAAATACTTTTATATATTTAAGCGAATATTTAACATTTTTAATAAATTACTTAACAATGATAATGGTCTCTTGTGAAATTGATTGCTGTGAAGAATTCAAAATGTCGGAAACCAAAAATCTAAATAAATCCGCGAAATAATCCGGAAAGATAGTTTTATTTAAGAAAATCAGTTTAACGTTTCAATTTGAAGCAATTTCTGATAGGAAGTAGTAATAGTAATGGTGAGGAAGAATTAAGCCCAAACAAAAGCTTTTAGGGAATAATTGATTTTAAGCGAAAGCTCTTGGATCTTAAGATCCATAAAACCAATACAATAGTCCGATACGTAATTAAATGTAGTATGAAATACTTCTGACTCGAACGTATTCGTGAGTGGCGCTCTCAGCCTCTCGCTCGCCGCAATCATGTAGTTGGGACAATAACGTTAAGTGGTGATAAAAATCGGATAAGTGCGAGTCTGAACTACACACCAAGAGTTCTGTAGCATACATATTTGAATAATTTTAGGTTGTTTTAACATATGCACGTTTTTGATTATAATTTTTATAATAAAAGTAAAACAAAGTACCAACCATTTTTTATTTTTATACTTCATCTACTAATGAATTTACATGAGATACGAACGTTCCTCACCAGCATAGCTCAAATAGTTTCCGAGTAAAATAACTGTGATGTACAGACACACCGCAAGACGGACACACGGACGTAACGAAATTATTAAGGTTTCATTTTTGCTTTTTGCCAACGAAACCCAAAAAAGTAGTTCTCAGAAAGTCTGCAGTATTTAACAGCTAAGCAAGTAACATAGCTTTATATTCACATGTTAACATAGAAAAGAAAATCCATGTTTCCGAGTAGGTACTGATATTAGAGAGATAATAGAATATAGAAGATAATAGATATAAATAGAGTTGATAGAGTCTATAGTTTAAGGAAAACGTACCTACACTGTTTATTCATATTTGAGTGTAATTTTATTTCCTTATATTTTATATAAAAACTAGCATTGCCCGCGGCTCCGCCCGCGTTCAGATGACCAAAAACCAAATTCTTAGGATTCTTAGGAAACATATTAGTATACTCTTACATTGCAGTTTTTGTATTTTTTCTCATAAATGAGATATTTTCCCGGGGTAAAAAGTATCCTATATGTTGACCCGGATAACCAGCTATCACCATTTCAAATTTCATCAAAATCCTTCCAGTGGTATTTCCGTGATGCGGTAACAGACAGAGAGACAGACAAAAATCCTAAAAACTATAGATTCGGCCTCTGTATCGATAATAATGTCTATTTCCATAAGATTTTCTAAAAAACATTTAATGTACAGATTCGGCTTAGTTATGTATAGATAATTACGAAATATATAATATTTTTAAATGGTAGTCTCGCTAGTTCTCCTTAAAGCTCGTAAGTGTGGAAGCATTCTAACAAATATGAAATAACAAATTGTTCAGACCCGTTTTAACGCCATCTGGCTTCTGCAGAAAGTAAAGCGGCGACACTCGCTCTGTTGAGATAACACAGTTATTGAACATATTAGTTCATTTTCAATTAAAAGAACTCGAATTATATCATCTATTAGCTGGTCGCAACCTCGCCCACGCTCTAGGGACTAAAGTATCTTTGGTATTGAACTGACTCAGTCTAAAAATGGTGTTTTAATATTTAATAGAAATTTTTATATAATAACACACTAAATATTTTGCAATATTTTTTTAACCTGAGACGTCGCACGTACAGGCTTAGAAATAAGGAGCAATTTACTTAAAAATGATTTATTTTATAAAGCACGCCTCATTTTCATTTAGAGTATATTTTTAACAGTCAGTTAGTAATTAGGATTTACAAATAACCAGCGGACCCGGTAGGCAGACGCTGTCCTATCACACTGTGTCAAAAACATAGGATTTGGATAACAGCGCTCCCTATTGGATCTAATTACTACTGCTATCCAGGTATACAAAAATATCCGCACGAGTATACAAAAAATATTTTATCGAAATCGGTCAAGTCGTTTAGAAGGAGAAAAATTTAAAAGAAACACATATACACTGGAACTTAATAATATACTGGCGACTCATCCTCGCTTTGCTCGGCTTCGTCCCTAGCTTCCTTATTCATACAAACTTTTATCCCCATTTTCACCCCCTTAACGCATGATTTTCGGAATAAAAACTATCCTGTCCTTTCCCAGGGTTTCAAACTATTTTCTAACCATATTTCATCTAAATCGGTTCAGTAGTTTCGGAGCTTATTCGGTACAAACAAACAATAACATTAAGTCTAGAATAGAAGTATAGATATAAAAATATTTTCAGGAAGAGAAAAAATATGACGCAAATGGTAAAAAGAAAAAGCGAGTGATCGCCGCCCGCGCGCCGTCCGCGCGCAGGGGTTGCCTCAGCATCATCTGCTGCCGGCTGGCGGGGTGACTGCGGACAAGAAATCTAACTTCATATTTATTTTATATTTTATTATATTTAATAAAATTGTATATAGCTGTCAATTTAGTTTTTTTATTATTTTATGAGAAAAGTAGTCCGAGCCTTTCCTACATATCCAACTCGATAATTTTCAAAAATTTCAATAAAATAAATCCAAAAGTTACGTTTAGTAACTTATTTATGGACACGCCTTAGAAAACACTTTACAATTCAAAATACTTGTATCTTTTAACACTGATGACATAACACTATGCTATTGACAAATGGAATGGAGACCATAATATGTTACTTACTTATAGCTATCCTGCTTATTTAGTGCCTCAAAATGCTTTTGATTACGTTATCTTTATAAATTATATTCTTATATTCAGCCCTTTTTAATGTTCCACTGCTTGCTACGAACCGAACCTCCTCTTAATGCGAGTGCGAACAGGCCGTAGTCTACCACACTGGCCAAGTGCGGGCGAACTCTACGTATCTTTCGAGAACTTGTTAACTTCTCTCAGACATACAGGTTTCTTGACGATGTTTTCCTTCACCGTAAAACAAGTGGTACTAATGTTGGAAATGATTTGCACATGAAAATATCGGAGGTGCGAGACCCTGGATTTGAACCCGCTTCACTTCGCTACCCAAGCAAGCGCGTTACCACTGCACTGGGCTACCACTTCTTTTTAAATTATAGTCCATGTGTTATTTAATATATAATTTATATTACTATAAAAATTCATTGAGATCCGTTCAGTAGTTATCGTGTGAAAGAGTAACAAGCGTACATTCTCACAGATTATCGCGTTAATAAAACTTGTTGAACAGGTCTTCATCATCCATCGTCTATTTCCCTTTTCCTACACCTTCCCCGGTGCCATTGGTGTTGCAAGAAGGTATCAAACAGACACCTATGCCTGCTCCGTTTGTGGTGTAAAAAATGTTAATATTTTTGAGTACCTACATTCTTACAATTATTAATAAAAAAGTTTATTGTTTTATTTTTTACCTAATAAAAATCGATCTTGTGGCGTCCAGGAGTGTCAGTCAGACATAGCCACTGCTCATATGAGCAGGTATATAGGTACCTAAGGTTTCTTAATTGTGTACTTAAAATTAGACATTTTTTATATAAAGAACATGACTGATCACCTGTCGTGACACGCATTGTTTAGGATAAGTATAAGACTCTAATAAAGTTGATATAGTAAATGAAAACTGACACCAATTCTGACAATATTAATCTATCTTTGATAATATAAATAATACGAATGTACGGAAGGTGTTTGTTCGTTTATAATATTATATGTATACTTAAATAGCGCAGGGACAGAAAGACATTCACATTGGCCCGATCAGTTAGGTTCCTTTTTCTGCTATAAAACATTATTTTTAGTATTATTAACATGATGTGAAACATCTAATGAGGCGAGTCAAACTAGCTGTTGGCGCCACGCGTCACCACGCGCTCGTAACTCTCTTCCCACTCGGCTCGTAGATTCCCTCCTCCCTCTCTCTCACCGAACTGAGCTAGTATTTTAATTTTGGTATTAAATTAGGTTGTATTTTTAAGTAAAGATTTCTTTCTTTAATAAAATCTGAATATTTATTTTTAATTGTTATATTCACTGCTTTTAAAAACCATCCTGTCATGCTTATTTTGTATACAAAATAATTTAGATGTTTCACATCTGTCCCGCGATGGCTGTAATTTTTTAATATACTTAAATATAGCGAACTCATAGGTATTCGTGTGCGCTAGTGGTTGGCATGTACGGTTCGTGGCTAGATATTTTGTGGGTTCGAGTCCCGGATAATTATATAGTATTAGGGTGTTTTTGTCCGCCCGTGTTCGTGGAATATTAATACATAATTTTAAATGTATAAGTATGATGATGACTTATACATTTAAAATAATACATAATATATTTAATTTATCATATTTATATATTATGTATATCACATTGTTATTTTGTTGTGTTGAGAACGTTATTACGTTCTGTTGAGAACGAAGACAAAAGAAAGAAGGACAATTGTCTATTTATAAATACATTTGTAAGCTTATATTTTCAATTGAATATAAATGAAAAAATAATTGAAGTAGGTATGTATTACATAAGCGGCATTTTAGTAATTATGTTAAACCCTTCCTCCCCTTGTCAGCAAAAGTAAGCAATACTCTTACTCCCTCCTCCTATGCTTACGTAAACATTACGATTCAATTATTTTGGGGAATCCCTGGACATGCTTTTCGCTTTTGAGCATAGACAAGTAGGGTTGTTATGTGTGTTCTGAAAACATTGATTTGATAAATCAAAATGTACTAAATTTTATTTAATTATTTTTAATAGATAAATATTGCTGACTTAACACCGTCCAGACTCCCCTCTATCCCCCTGTCATTGAAAATAAGCAAACAAATGAATTTCAATACACAACACGAGAATCAAACATACGACATAAATAGTTTGTGTTAGTCAGACAACTATGCAATAAAGCAATCTTTAAAGTTATAAACAGAAAAATAAATGTTAAAATTCATTTATTACAAATAAACGTGCTTTATATTTTCTTCGTCCTTATCGTAATAAATAATTTGAATTTTAAATTGTGTGTTTCTTTATTATTACCTGCAGTCGAAAGCCAAACTGCCAAAATAATCTCCATGATAACCATATTATCTAATACATATTACCCATGGACGAATTGGTTAATTCGTTCATGATATTACCTATAATAAGGATGAAGTTCCACGTGTCTTTAAATTGCTCATATTTGTAAAAAATAATTTTGGTCAAGAATAGGTAAGTAGTAAAAGAAAATTCTATGGTTTTTATTATTTCGCTTATCAAGACGTTTGTAAATTGGAGTTATCAAAGATTTTTTCCATTCTGTAGGTAGACAACCGGAATTTAAAGATTTTTTAAAGAGAATAGTTAAGGGTATACTTAAAGTGTTACTACATTGCTTAAAAAAAATTGGATGTATAGCGTCTGGTCCACTCCCCATATTTGTTTATAATTTAGTTAAGTATGATTGTACTTTGCTTTTTGATATATCCAATGAAGCTAAAATTGTATCACAGCTATTAACGTAAGCATCAGACGTGAATGATATATTATTCTTCTTAAAGACAGAATGAAAAAAATTATTGAACATATTGGCGATTGTTTGTCCATCTGAGCCAGTTTGTGAATCTAGATACATTGTATCTGGTATACCAATATGTTTTTTTTAGATTCAATAAAAGACCAAAAGTGTTTAGAATTAATATAAATATTGTTTTCTGCTCGTTCCAAATATAAATGGTAACAAGATTTTTCTAAAAACTTTGTTCTCTAATTTCTGAGAACCTGTCATAATCGCTTAACCTTCCATATATCTTCCATTTTTTATGCCATTTTAATTTTTTATTAATAAGACTAATTAAGCGACGTGAATACCAAATGGGATATTTACTTTCTACTGCCGATTTAGATGGAACGTATTTTTCAATTAAATCGTTTATGATACTGAAAGCATCAACTGCTTCAGTAATATTACTGACTGTTTGTCATTTAGTTCTAGTTTCCAGTTAATTTTTGATAATTCTGCGTTAATAATGCTACAATCTGCATTGTGATACTTGCGGACTATACGGTGATTAAGACTAAGGTTTCTTTCTATTGAATGAATATATATTATATCTAATCTAATATATAATAGATTAGATATGTTGGGATATGTTTTTGGGACATTAACACACAACACCATGCACAGCACAGTTGTCAGTAGGTAAGCTACGAGGCCTGTGTTATGTATACCAGATAGTTGATACACTACACATATATGTATCACTTTAAATACATACATATTATTAATATAAACACCCATGACAAGAGTACAAACTTTCGTGCTCATCACACAAATGAATGCATCTAGCGGGACTCGAACCCGCTACTTCTGGCACAGTACATAGGGTCACTACAAACTAAGACAAACGTGTCTTGAAATATAAACTGAAGGGTAAAAACCACAGGAATCAATAGATAGTAGATAACATCATAAATATTTAAATAATTATTTATACACTTACATAGACCACAGTCTACACTCAGCTAGAAAACACTTGGAGCTTTTTAAGTGCATTTCTAGGGTCAATAATGAATCGTGATCCAGCATATTGATGAATAAGGAAACTGTTCCAATGGCAAGCACATAAATACTTTTCGTGTTTTAGATTAAATGAAAATTTAAAAAATGACACATTTGTATCAGTATAGTGCATCGATGCCTCTGTACTAACACACATACATATTTATACTTTTAAGTATGTTTATGTATGTAAAGATTGTATGCGTACTTTTCACGTGACTTAATTTTTTTTTAGTTACATGGAATGTTTGGATTGTCACACACAGAAAGCACTTTCCTACCTAAATATTTCCAATAGTCTTCCAATCAAGTTCGAGGCTACGAAATAGGTATAGGTAATAGGTCAGACGACCATGACGACATTGTGAGGGTCTTGTTGCTATCATTGAACAGCACAACCCAAAAAAAGTAATCGATTATAATTATATTAATACATCAATATATTATTATGTTAATTTTGCTTATTTCTACATCTCTACATTTTATGATGATTTACCTTTACAACTCTTCATTCATTTTCGACTGTTTTTTGTTCATACATGAACTAAATGAAGTATATTAGACTCACTCTCGCTTCGCTTCAGGTTCGTCCCTAGACAAAAACAAATCTATCCTATGGGAATCGTACATTTTCCGGGATGATCTATAGCCAATAAGCTTCCTCAATAAACAGGCTATCTAATGCAAAAATATTTTTTCAAATCGGATTAGTAGTTCCTGAGATTAGCTCGTTCATCCAAACAAACTCTTCAGCTTTATAATATTAGTTGATACTAGATATAAATTAGTTTTGCTCGCGGATTCGCTCACTTAGTAAGAATGTAACTAAAGTATAATAGATTTTCATATTTAATAAATTTTACAGATGTTAAAAGTTTAAAAGCACCGATGATTGAAATATTTAAACTAGCTATGATTAGATTTCTCTGTAGGCTGTAACTGTTTTCGAAACTAGCAACATCAGTTTACAAAATGTTAGAGTAGATATTATAACAGTATAGATAAATAATAAACAAATTTGAATCTCAAAAAGGGCCTCTACGTATTGGACCTGTGTCCCCACACAAGCTTTCCAAAGGACCAGGCTCATTTGAGCCCGTTAAATCCGAAGAAGTAACATATTAAGAAAAATTATGGATTTCTAAAATATATAATTATATTCCCAAGGAGGGTTAACGTCAGGCAGGCGGCCGGTCGTAAAACTTTTGCCAAATCCTATCAGCAGTACAGAAGATGTACTGCGCCGACCCCAAGTGATTGGGAAATGGGCAGGGAGAAGAAGAAGAGGATCGTATATACATATATGTATTTAGCATACACAATTTTATATTTAAACATTTTTTCCTTGTATTAATTTTACACACCTTGTACGGGGCATTGCATGCACATTGCGCCATCTATTAACACTATTTGAAATATTTTCCTCCAGATGAGACCCCTAGCGATTAATAATACAATAAACTAGACAGCTCCCTCTAGTCACATTTATTTAAATTGCTTCAACGTTTACCAATACAAAGCAGTTCGACTGTATCTCGCTAGGTGGCGTTAATTTACGTATTAGTATTATTATATAGTTAAAACGATGAGTAATATTAATAACAATAACAAATAGGATGTTACATTCCAATTATAATATAAAAATTATGAAATTTCTGTTCAAAATAACGTACCTAATAAAAAAGGTAAGCCCTAATCAAAATTGGGTAACAAGATAAAATACATATTTCGTTATTTAAAAAATAAAAACACTTTGTAAATGGATCAAGCATGTACTTATGTGTGACAAAATGTGTCGAGCTATACCTAATTAAATAAGCTGTAATTGTAATTACTCAATAATTATTAAAATTTTTAAGCACAATAATTGTCACCGATTGGCGCAAAAACTGTCCAAACTGAGGCAAAACCGTTTTTATTAGATTGATTTAGGTACAATTAGGTACTTTATTTAATACTTCAATTAATTTTTTTTCATAAGAAACTTTATTTATTCTCATATTACTAATAATAAAAACTTTTTAACAAAAAAATAAAAACCGACTTCAAACAAAAGCACTAAAAAGCAAAAAATAACTGATTGGTAGTTTTCATTTACTATACATACCTAATCAAATATTTTCGCTTTGCTTTGTATGGGCTGGCACCGATTTCGAAAATATTTGATTAGGTATGTATTTAATAGGTAGGCTTTAATTACTTAGCCAAAGCACACCGACTTCGAAAATATTTGATTAGGTATGTATAGTAAATGAAAACTACCAATCAGTTATTTTTTGCTTTTTAGTGCTTTTGTTTGAAGTCGGTTTTAATTTTTTTGTTAAAAAGTTTTTATTTTTCCCTTTTTAGTGTAGACAGTAGTAGCAAAGTAAGGATTCTAACGTTTTAGGCTTGTCAAATCAAACAAAATAAGCCCAAACTCAAAGTATCTACTATTAGCCGTTGAAGAGTTCCACCTATCCACCTTCTGGCCTTGCCATCAGATCAGGTCAACAACACCGAACCACTGTACTATCAACGGAAATAGAAATACTTGCAAAGTTTCAAGTCAATATGACAATTAGAAGTAGGTTAAATTCATCATTAGTTGTTTTTCCACCCTTAGGGGTGGTTTTTTTTTTGAAATTTAAATGGTACCAATCTGGAAGTATACCCTTTCAAACAAAACAAAAATTGTCCAAATCGGTTAATAAATGACGGAGTTCTGAGGTAACAAACATAAAAAAAAAACATACAGTCGAATTGAGAACCTCCTCCTTTTTGAAGTCGGTTGAAAAAGCTCAGACTAAAGACAGAGAGCCCACCAAAAAAATATCAGAGTCAATAATAATAGTACCTAGCGTGAGTGTGACTTAGTGGTATACAAAATGTATTTTATTTAAAGAATAACTAAAATTTTATACAGATAGTTGTCGTTATTTTACAATTTTTGAGAAAATATTAATTATAAAATAATACTACCTGTATTTTTTTGTTTTTTTTTTAAGCATTACTCCTCTTCCCTTTGAAAGAGAAATAGTATAATACTACATTATTCATTATTTCTTTTCTTTATAATATAGTAAAATCCGTTACCTAGTTATTTTTATTTATTGATAAGTATTCTATTAATATTTGTAAATACTATACTTTTTTTAAATATTATGGTTTAGCTTCATGTTTAGTTCTGTCATATTATTCCTTAGTCTCAATAAAATAGATTAATCATCGAAATTCTAATAACTGCAATTTGCAAATAAAGCTAACCACTTCCAATGTTCCAATGTTCAATGTTTTGCTTCCAATTATCCATGTTGCAATAACTAAATCACGCACACTATTAAGAAAGTTATATTATGTAATTAAATGCGTGTACTATGTGTAGTGTTGTATAATATATGCTTATTGCTTATTAGTTACTTGTATCCCCAGTACATGACAAGCTTTTGCGACGACTTCTTTCTCTTCACGCTTAAAACGCTTTAATTTCTTAGTAAACACAAGCAAAAATATGCATATTTAAGTCCATTACAACTTCTTCGCTCTCGCTTCGCTTCGCTCGGATTGGTCCCTAGGTTTTTTAACAGTTACTATGGAATAGATAGGTAATGCATACATACATAATATGTATACATAAAAGTAGGCAAGTACTTAAAAAACTTGAAACTATCCCCTATTTTGCCTTGATTTTTCATAAACGACAAAATATTCTTTATTTCTTACCAAAATTAAGGTATAAATGAATTTTTTGTCCTTAAGAAATGTTTTCTTCTCAATAAAACCTTATTACCCCTCTATTTTACCCCTTTTAAGTTTCATTTTTGGGACAAAAAGTATCCTCACCCAGGTCCCATCACTGTATACCAAACTTCCATCAAAATTGGTTCAGCGGTTGAGCCGTGAAAACGTAACGGACAGACAGAGAGTTACTTTCGCATTTATAATATTAGTAATTAGTATGGATATATTAGTAATTAGTATTTTTTAATCCCTAATAAGATTATGTGAAGTGTTCTGTATGTCAATATAAACAGTAAAGTGCGAGACTTATCAGTTGTTACAAAAAAAAATCAAAATATATAAATAAATTTTGTATATTTAAAAAATATCAAGTTAAAATCTTATGAAAACAACATACTAAAGTAAACAAAAAAATTACAACAAAGCTTATAATTCAAAAAATGTGAACAAAATTAGATTATTTTATTACAATTACTCTTTTCGCTGTCGGTTAAATGAAAGGCGCACTTATCCAAATCGTTTATTCAAGCAAATGAACATATTATGAACAAACAAACTATAACATTAAATTTACCTACTTATATTATTTACACTTCTCATCTCTCACCCTACTCTAACTTACACTACGTACCAAATGCAGAACAGAGTTTCATTTTTCAAAAGCAAAACTATTTAGACGTTAAGTTTTATCAAAACGGGAATGAAAATATATTCTGCATCTTTGTTTATGTCATCGATGAACTAACTGCCTGGTATTCCCTCTCGCAACCCCAAACAAAACCCATGGCGCCTACCGACTATGACGAAATCAAAAGATCTGTCTGTATGTAAACCGAGTTTAAAATAATATTGTTATTTATTTTATTTTATTATCATATTAAGCTTTCAAGTCCGCCATAGTCGGTTAAATGTCAACAAAATCGCCTACGGCCATCCAGATCTGTGGAAGTAAAATAGCCTCCAGATGAAACTCATGTAATGGTTCTTCTCCACAAATCATATTTATAACACCACAACATCAACAATGGTTTGTCAAAACTTAAATAGTGCATATTATATTGTGATTTAACTAAACCTACTCCCGACTGATGGCTATTTCATGGGACCACCACTTGGTGATGCCTCCCATGAGATCACCAGCAGTCCGAGCAACATATATTACTATTCAATACAACGTCTGTCTGAAAATCTGTGTGGTATTTGACTCATTTTAATTTTAACAATATGCTAAGTGTAACAAAGTGTAGTAAAAAATAAATAACTTAAAAACATAAGTTGAGAATCTTATTTGTTTTGGATATTTTTAAACAATAGTGATATATTTTATTAGAAAATCAAAAATAATTTAGTTTTCAATATTAACAAGTAATTGTTATGTATCCCCAATACATAGTAAAATTAGTCAAATACCCAATTGAATGCCACTCTCAAGTCATGATCACAAGGAAACAAGAACTTCAACTGCTGCAAGGAAGACAACAGGTCACAGAACAAGCGTACAACTCAGCGAAGGCAACTCCTAGCGCTTTGCACAGTTCAAGTTGGTGGTGGCAGTATCTGGTCATGATTACTGTTAGTGAAATATTATATTATCCTCTTCTTATATATCATTACATACAAAAATATTCTAATTTGAAAATAAATCTATAAACACATAAAATTATACCTTCAATCGAATATCTCTTTAACTCTAATTAAACTTTTAAAAAAGTGATATTCAAACTTCTTGCCATCCATCCACACACAGTAAAGAATACTGCTCAGCAGGCACTTTCGCATAATTTTGTAAAAACTAGGTCACAAGTAAAAAATACATGCGACAAGCGCTAGTCTAACACTTTGAGCCGAATTTGACAACACAGGACAGATCGTTGCGTGAAAGGTTCCGTGCAAACAGACAAACAATAATATTATAAGAGTAAATAAAATTTTCTCAGTAAAAACTCTATGAGGACATCTACGCAGACCCATTAACATACAAAACTCATATGATTTAAAATATTGTATATAATATAGTTCTAGTCACAGTACCGTTCACAACTGACACCTCGCGTCACTTCACGTCGGGCGGCGGCGCGGGCGCGGCGGGCCTCACTGCGGCTGCCCGCTCTGCGCCGCCTGACTCGCCGACTTGGTGATTACGATGGTCTGCTTGCCGCCCACGCCCGACTTGCCCAGCTGCAGCATGTTCGAGGGCAGCGTGATGATCTTGTTGCCGCCCACCGTGTTAGCCGATACCAGCTTGACGATAGTGGCGCCCGGAGCGATGCCCTGTGCTTGCGCCCCACTCGCGGGCGTCGCCGGTCGATTCTGCATCATGGCCATCTTAGGCATCGTCGCCACCGTCATACCTGTGGATGTCTTTACCAGGGTGACGTACTGAGGTGCGTTGCTCGTCTGCGCGCCACCTCCGGGGGTCTTCTTTATGATGACAGGTATGCCGGCGTTGCCGCCCGCCTGCCGCAGCACAGTCGCGCCAGCCCCCGTCACTGCCGTCGTCGCCGTCGTCCCTTGGTCGCTAGATTTAGCCGTCACAATTTTGTACACTGGCGCTTTCACTTGCTGTCCTGCAATCGCGCCGCTGGCAATCTGTATCGCACCGCCCGTGCTGCCGATGACGGGTAGGTTGCCCGCGCCCAGCTTCACCGGCACGCCCGCCGCCACCTTGGCCTGCATGCTGGCGACACCCGCCTGGATGGGCATTCCGCCGGCTGTCTTCACTAACACATTACTTGTGCCAATTTTAACGTTTCCAGCACCGAGTTTCAATGGAACATTTGTCGCCATTTGTCCTACTTTTTGTACGCTGTTCGTTATCTTACCCTGAATGTTAGCAGCACCAATCTTGAGCGGTACGGCGTTGCCCGCGAGCTTGACGTTGCCGCTTCCTAGTTTGACCGGGACCCCGGCGCTCGACCCGGTCTTAACTTGTACGAAGCGTGGCGTCCCAGACCCACCAGACGCTGTGCCGAGCACGATCTGTGCGTTAGACTGCGGCGTGGACACTCGGACGCTACTCGGTGTTCCTACTCCGCTTACTATCCTTGTGACTCCTTGTGGAGTAACGGCGGCAACCTTTATTTGTTGAGAGGAGCCAGCTGCTGGAGATTTAACAACTGTTTTTCCTTGGTATGTCTGCTTCAAAGTTGGAGTGTTTGGAGATATCTTAACTGCGGCAGCTTGGGCTGGCATCTTGATTGGACCTGACACTACTTTCTGTGGGGTAGAAACGATTGGAGTAGATATTGGTGACGCGGCTACTGCTACAGGACGAACAGGTATTTCAGTTGGAGTGGGAGGCAAACCGGAGGCAATAGGTGAGGTTAATCCAAATGCTTTGGCTGCATCAGGTTGTCCTGCAACTGGCGAAGCTGGGGGTGGTGCTGCAACTGATTCAGCAGATGAAGGGTAGCGAGCAGGAGTGACTTTACCACATTTTTGAACTTGTAGCAGATATGTAGTAACAGTGTTCATAGCCGGCCAGCACAATTCAAGAGAAGTAGTGCCAGCTCTTACGAGTGCAACGCGACCAGCTTGTGGTGGTACACCTACTTCTAGGTACCAGAGATCTTTACAACAAATTTGATTGTTCCATGTTTTTCTATAACCATCTCTTCCCGACCAAATGTAGAGTCTGGTTTGTATAGCAACAGCACTGTGTCCAGCTCTAGCTCTGGGAACACATTCTTCAAATTTATCCAATGCAATATTATCCCAAGTCATGGTTTCTAAGTTTAGGGATGCGAGTGTGTTAGTGCACTTCCATTCTTTTTCATGTGTGGCAAGTTTAGATTCATCTGGAACCAATGGAACCCAGCCTCCATACACATACATATGATGACCTATAACAGTCGCTGTATGCAAAGAGCGGGGCAAAGGAGGTGGGCCACCTAATTCTGGACGTGACCATGACATGCTGTCCACATCAAGCACCCACAGGTCACCGAGGCGCGAGCCACTCATTCCTCCATATATTATCAATGAAGATTTTCCAGTATTTTTATCCGTGTACGCGACACCACTATGTGATTCACGCGGCGGCGGCGATTGGCCATATGTATGTGGAATATCCCATACAGTCATTGACGAGTTAGGATATAGCTCTAAGGTGTATAAATCATTCAAATATCTTGGTATATTATTTTTAGGATCGTCACTTTCATTAGCCAAACCACCAAATAGATACACCTTACCATTTAGTAATGTGAAACTGTGTCCTAGTCGGGGACACGGGGGCAAACCCTGTTTCGGCGGTAGAGGCTTGAGGCGCTTCCATTCCCACCGTGAGGCCTGTAGTTCGTACAGATCGTTAGAATACTTGCCGTACTCCACCATGCCGCCAAAAACCAGTAAACGTGTACCGTCGACCACAAAACCGTAGGCAGCGCATCCTGGAGGCACCTCACCCTTCGTGACAGGAACAAACCACTGATTTGTAGTAGTATTGAAGACATGGAGCTCGTGAACTATCCCTTCATTTCCGCCGCCGAAAACTATCATCAAATCCTTTATGGCAACCGCGCGATGGCCATGACGAGGTCGTGGTTGTGGGCCGCTAGGATTGCAAACTTTTTGCCACTTAAGTACAGCGTTTTCCTTCATTTTTACTATACATTTGTCACTTAAAGCTTTACACCGTATGTATCGCTCGGGATGCGTATCTATAGCATAGACAATGAGAAACGTCGTAAATAAGCTTTGAAGAAAATATTCAGGTTAGTTGCAGCTGCGTAATCCAATCTAATACGGCTTTCTCTTTCGCACCTACACACACCGCCTATGAGTATAAAAAAATCACCTTATGCAGCTTACAGTGTATAACAAAAATGGCGTTAGCAACAGCAATGGCAACTTAACAAAAGGAGAAAGAACGGCGTCGGACGTCAAGAGTTATCTATTGACTGTAATACAGTATATAAATGATAAAGCAGATGAGAACATTATGATTTATAAATAACTTAAAATTATTGTTTGAAAGCGAAATAGTTGAAAGCAAGATTGTTTTAATATTATACAATTAATATTACTACGATTTGAAATGTTAATATTAAAATAGTTTATTTAATTTTTAATATTTTTGCACTGTTTCATTAAAAATTTAAAAAATATTATACTAATACAAAAAATATTATTTAATCACCTTTGAAACTAATCAAATAAAGATATTCGAAGTTCTACATTATGAAGTCAATTAATTGCTTATGGATAGAATAATAATTAGTTTTTTTGAATGGCAATATAGCAAATTACTTTCTTTAAGTTGGTAAAACTGATGTGATCAAATGCGCGGCAAATCGTGGATAAATAACATTTAATTTACACTAAAAAATGTATTTACAATAAATAAGTGGCAAAATCAAAATAAAAAAGATATGATTTGTAAAATGAGTATTATTAATAACATTGTTCAATAAAGATATGTGTATATTGTTTCAGTATTCCTATATGAAACTAACCTATAACTTTGTTTATTTATATTTTTATTGCAGAGTGAAAAGCTTGCCTTAGTTTGTGATGCATCAACAAAATTTTAAAATTTGTGTTGAATTCAATTGTCTTTTTTCTCTTATCTGTAAACGTTATGCATATTTCAAAAATTTACAAAAGACTATAATTAACGTTTTATAAAAATAACTTATTTTAGTATTGTGAATATTAAATTAATTCTTAATTATTTAAATGAAACAAATGAGTTTAAAATTTGGTAAATTTACAAAAGAAAATACCTTGATATAAAAAAATAATAAAAGAGAGATAATACTAGAAGTCTTATTTCTTAACAAGAGCCAGATTTGATCTTGATCAATTTTTGTATATTAACTATAAGCCATAATAACAAAAAAAATGTATATTTATAAGATACTGGCGAGTAGCGACCTCATGCTCACCCTCATCCTCATCCTCGGGTTCGTTTCTACTTACGTTTTAACGTGTAGTATAGACTAGCATTGCCCGCGGCTCCGCCCGCGTTCAGATGACCAAAAACCAAATTCTTAGGTTTTACATATTAGTATACTTTTCCCGCGGTAAAAAGTATCCTGTGTTGATTCGGATATCCAGCTATCATCATACCATGCCTGCCATGCCATACCATGCCATACCATGCTATCATCAAATTATATCTAAATCCGTCCAGTGGTTTTTCCGTGATGCGGTAACAGACAGACAGACAAAAATTCTAAAAACTATAGATACGGCCTCTGTATCGATGTCTATTTCAATAAGATTTTCCAAAAAATATACCTACCTACCTGTGTGCATGTTTGTTATGAAAGTTGTGCGATGAGCTGCGCAAATACAACGAACGAGCCACGATCGCTATAAAGTTTTGAATTTGATTGTAAATAACAACTAATATAAATAAATCAAACAATGGTTTTGTGCGATTACATGTTTATTTATAAAATAGTATTTCAAATTTAGTGTAAATATAGACCGTGGTATTGTCAGAAATCAATATAATACAACAACTGGTAAATATTCAGCTAACACTCATATATTGTTAGCTTATTTATAATTCATCAATAGTTGAAAGTGTATTTGACATATTGTCATAAATGCTCAGATTATTTAAAAACTCAAAACATTATAAATCGGTGCTATATAATTTGAATTATGAGTTTTTTTTATGTAATGGTTGTATCGGGGGAAAATGACGCGTGGGCTCGGTGTTTAAGGGGTGTTGCATGTCATAAAGCGCGGGGTTCAAGTGGTTAATCATAGATAATTAGTGAAAATTCCATTTTTATGATAATTTTTATTTGTCATCCATGGTGGTAACATTAACGTTATTTGCGTCAGTGACACTGACATGATACTGACAAGTGACAATCTTCAAACTTGTGATTTGTGAATTTTAGTTTAGGTCACAGAGTACATTGGTATATACCAGGGTCATTCAACTTATATACAAATCACGTGGTAATTCAAATATTGAAGTTGTCCCACTTTACAATAGAGATGGCAGGGTAAAACTTATAAATTTTTTTGAATTCGTTCAATAGATGTCACTGCTGAGACCAGATGAGATGAGTTTTTAAATGTCCGCCGTTGATGATAAAGGTATCTTTAACAATGTGATATTTTAAAAATTTATAATTTTCCCCAAACTAAGTGCCCGTTATTGTGTTTTAACGTTGAGTTGAGCTTATGTTCCTTCGATAAATCTCATTCTGATCTCAATATATCACAATTTCGTAGTTAGTCGAACAGAGTTAGGACTCGTTTCTGGCGTTTGGGTTTATTTGCGATTTTTTCATTTTTGGTGTGCTCATCAAGAAGGTCAAGGCCCAATTATGCCATCAGACAAGCAATGCTGCGTTCCTGGATGTAAAGAGACTGAAGGTACCTATGTCAAATATATGAATACCCGTCATACTCGTTTTACTGTCGTAAGTATTATAATATATTAATGTTATTTTAAAGTGTCAATCAATTTTATAGAAATGAAATAGAAATTGGTAATTTATTTTCAGAATTAGTGTTTATATCTGAATGGTGGTCAGGAACAAAGTTGTCCATATACATAAAGAATGATGATACCTAGATACCATGGGAAAGAACATGGCTATCTTATTATGAACCATAGTTATGAAGTAGACTGGCTCATGGGTTGGCACTTCTGTGACGGTATCAAAGTTTTAGGAGTGAGTATATCGATCTGATATTTCTATAAATTACATAAATGACTTTTGTTTATAGTGTTCATAATATTTCAAACTGTTGTTGGTAAATAAAACTACATTCTAATAAAACTACAATACTATTATGATCAAAAATAAATGTAACTAAAAACATAACAATATAATTATTAATAATATGTAGAATATGCTATAGCTATATATGTATGTATATGTGTATGTACTTACATTTTTTTTATATATTTTAATTTTGTATTAACATCATGCTATTTAAACAATCTTGAGGCTTGTTCATTTTCAAAAAGCAAGCAAAAAAAAGCAAGAAAGCTCCATTCAAGGTATTAAAAAAATAGATACAGAGTAATATTTTCATTGTTTTAACTAATGTTCATGTTGCAATTTATAAAATTCCATAGTGATTCTATGTAGCATTGTTGTTGCTAGATGAATGTAGTTTTAAATAACAATTTAGCTATAAAAATATAATGATACAAAGTAACTAGAAAAATAATTTCTAAACTATAGTATAGTACTTAAAATTGAAAAAAACATGAGATCCTTTTTCAAAGTACCCCAGAAAGTACTACAGAAAAGTAAATGTTGTAGTCAAAAGAGTAAAATAATTATATTGATTTTGAAATCTGTTCAGTCATAATATAGATTAGAATGCACAAACATGCAGTATTAATTCCAATAGACAATGTATGTTTATATGTATATTATAAATTTATTTTATATTATATGAATTATATATTTTAATTTTATAATATCTAATTTCTGCATAAACATTCCCTGTACTCAATATATTCAATTCATTTAACATAACGTAAAATAATTGGAATATTTTCATGATATGTATTATAAATTTAGTCAGTTATAACTTATAAACTAGTTAATAACATTAAATATTTAATGGTGAAATAGTTAATGAGTTATACAATACATACTTAATTAAATATTTAGACCTGAATTTGCTAATAACATGGCTATCTCAAAGCTGAGTTTGATAAATGAGTGATGTTAAACATAAATCATAATATAAGTTTTTTCCTATAAAATTTCCATTTAGATAAAGATAAACAATTCTTTATTTAATTAAATATATAAGCAAATGAACTAACTATTGGCCTTTATGGTTGTTAAACTTTTGTGATTTCAATGAAATTTCATTATGGACATAAATTCCCGAATCCCATTCCAAGTATTTCTATATACTTGGAATGGGATTCGAGGAGCTCTTCAATATAGTTTTCGCTACTATATCGTAGTTCAGATCGAGAAGATGTATCTGTAAAGATATGTATGCTATTTATTTATTTATTTATTTATTGAACTACCAATAAAAGTTACAATATTATAATACTTAAACTTAGGTTACATATAATTTATCATGATAATTGCACTTTTAATTATAGGTAGTTACAACTTGCTAACTTTAACAGGCTATCACATTAGTATTAATTAATAGTATAATAATAATTCCAATTTAATTTAAAAAAAAATAATTCATTAAAATTACAAATTAAAAAATATATAATTTTAAAACAAAAAAATCAATAATAACTAATTTAAACAATTGATATGTACCTATTATGTTTATATTTATATTTATAGCATAAAAATTAAAAATTGAGAAACAGCATGCAATCAAATTTTCAGGAGGAAGGCGTCAAATCGAAAACGCGTTGTGGATTTATTTGAGGTATCTGTTCCATACGCGTCACCCATATTACGTTCCTTCTGTGCTGAAATCGTTTTTGAAAATATACGCGCATGCCGCATTTACGATTTTTCTAAAATTAATCAAAAGAACAACAATCTTTTGAAAAATATATCATAGCTACATTATGAAATTAAGTTGAATTTGGAATTTGAAGTCAATCGCGAGATTTTGAGCTTCACACTACGTTTGTATTGGAAATCGGTAATTTTGTAAGAGCTTATAGGATGATTGGTAGTTAT